AGTGTTGCTTGTGGATCTGAAGCGGTAGCCCGCCCGAGGCATTGGATATCTGATGAGTCAGTAGCACTAATAGAGAAAAAGCGGAAAATCCCAACCATCCGGGATCAAAGCAGGGTTATGTGGCGTCTACAACGTCAACTCAAGAAAGACCGTGAGAACTGGTGGGCAATGATAGCTAGTGAAATGGAAGTAGTAGCTGCATCAGAGAATAGTCAAAGACTGTTCCAACTGATACGCAATACGGGAGGTCGGCAAAACACTGTTAGTGAAACGATCTGAGATAAGAGTTGATAAGCTATTCACAATAGGGGGCAACGGCTCGACTGGTGGACGAAGTACTTCAGCGAACTGTTCAGCTGGCCAGGCGTTAACCAGGCTATCTCCTATGATCTAGCTCAGGCTTGGTGGACAGTGTCACGTGAACCCCCTACTGCAGCAAAAGTTCGTTCCTGCATCCAAGCTATGAAGACAGGGAAAGCATCAGAGACACTCTTTTCAAGATGGGGGGGGGCGGTAACCTCGTAGACGCCACCAATGAACAGCAGGTCTTCGTGACTATGGGGTTCACCTCGTCTGCTGTCCATCACACTTAGGTGTGTAATAAAAGAAGACTATTACTGATATAATGCATAGCACCTTGTCACACGAGCGCATTCCATCATCCTAGAGAAAACCACTAATCGTTCCAATTTTTATAAAATGATCTCGCAACGACTACGCAAACCACCGTTGAATAAGTTTGGTCCCAATTGTCACCAGGTTACTAGCCTCCATCATACTTCGACGTCTGACACTGTTTAGGGCGACAAACATCCGCGAACAACGAGCAGGATTTCGATCAGGTCGCGGTTGTATTGATCAAATCTTCACTCGGCGTCAAGTCCTCGAGCTACGCCATACCCCAACGGTTGTCGTGTTCCTTGACCTTAGAGGAGCCTTTGACTCAGTTGATCGTGAATCCCATATGGGTTCACTCCTTCGGAAAAGAATGCCGCAGAAGTATGTGAACATACTGATTTCACTCTACTCACATACTTCTGGTAGCTTAAGGGTCTACGGCATTCCTGTTCAATTTCGTCATAGACGAAATACTGGAGAACGCACCAGGTGGTCTCCAAAATGTAGGGATTGAATGGGCAGCTGGAGAAAAGCTGTGCGATTTGGAGTACACTGACGATATCGTTTGCTCGTTCGAATGTACGGAGGATGCACAAAGAGCACTTGACAGGTTAGCAAGTTCTGTCGCTCCGTTCGGCATGTGCTTTGCGCCTTCAAAGTCCGAAGTGATACTACAAGAATGGGTGTCACCGAGTTCTGTTCTGAAACTAGCCGGTCAGAAATTAGCGGAAGTTGACTGCTTCTCGTACTTAGGTAGCTGCATGATCAACGACGGTAGCGCATTTCCAAGGCTCGAGCAGCGTACGCAGGACTTGAATACCTGCGGCGGCGACGTGATTTTCATTTGAAGTTGAAAGTCGCGTATACTACGCCACTGTACGATCGGTTCTCCTTTATGGTTGTACAACCTTGAATTTGCGGGTAGAAGATACCCGTCGTTTAGCAGTGTTTGACAATCGATGCATACGTAGTCTGGCCTAAGTGGGATGGAGTGCGCGGGTTAGTAACTTAGAAGTAAAGCGTCGGGCGTTAGGGAATGCACCAAGCAAAAACTCGCTATCGTATCGAATTCAGCTCAATAGGCTCCGTAGGTTAGGACACGTCTTGCTTATGTCCGACGGTTGCCTACCGCAACGCGCTTTATTTGCAGCGGCTGTCTCAGGCTGGAGAAAGTCACATAGAGGCAAGCAGACGACGTGGCGACGAGACATGAAGAAATGCACAGAGCAATTAGGTAGAGTAGGTGTCTGTCGCCTTCCGGGATGAGGTTCAAAAGACTCCGAAATCGCATGGTTGGAGACACTGAAGGTCATGGCTGCGAACCGACAGCAATGGCGATCTTGCTTTCGCTTCTTATCAAACAAGAATGCTTGAAATAGTGTGTATGCACAGTTAGACCGTGCACTCTGTGTTGGTCAGAGAAGTTCCCGTCTCTAAAGTTAAATCCACTCCCTATCCTCCTTACACATTCTAACTTACCTCTGTTCACTCTGTGTTGACCGTAGAAGTCCACCTTCTTTCCGTTACCTCAAATTAAGTCCACCTTAACTATTACCATTAACTTTGTATACATTGCGATTTTGGTAGCGATTAGCGAAGTTCGCTTCACTGTATTTCGCTGTACAATGATGATGACGGGTCAACAGCTACAGAATGAAGCGCCGATACTTATTCCTCGTATCGGTGTATGCACCGACCAATTGCAGTTCACCTGGAATGAAGGATGAATTTTACAAGGATCTTTCTCAATTACTGTAAGCGTTGGATCAACGGACGTCGTAATAGTCGCCGGAGACTTCAATGCTCAATTGGGATAACTGGACTCGTCACAAAGACTTCTTGGCGGTCCACATGCAATCCCAGCCAACCAGATGGACAACGGAGATCACCTACTTCAACTCTGCGCTTAACATAGATTCCGTTCAAGCACCATCTTCTCGCCATACTTGGAAACCACGAACCTCCATACCGGTGGACCCAAATCGACCACATTGATTAATGATTGTTGAAACTGAACTCAACTGAACATTGCCACCAGTTACCGCTGGAGAGTGTCGACTAGCTCTAGCTGATTAACACCTGTGGATTCTAAACACGCTTTGTTATGAGCCAACTCGTCCTTACGCCTGATCAACAATCGCAATAAGGCCACCGGAAATCGATACCCAAGCTACAACGTCAAAGACATTTGCGGAGTTGTTAACACTAGAGTGGGTCATCATCATCATCGTACAGCGAAATACCGTGAAGTGAACTTCACTGACCGCTGCCAAACTCACAATGCACACAAGGTTAGTGGTAAAATTTAAGGTGAACAGGGGTTGAATCTATTTTGAGGAAGGGAGAAGAAGATGAGCCACTATGGTCAACACACAGAGTATGCAATCGAACTCTGCGTACATACCGTTTCAAGCATTCTGACCTGGTAAGAAACGACAACAACAACGCCACTGCTGCCGGTTCGCTGTCATATCCTTCAGTGTCTCCAACCAACCAGTTAGGTGGACAAGTGCAAATGCCCGGCCCTTTCCACCGGGTTGACTAACCACTGGTAGTCATTCTAGGGGAGTTGGCTAAACCCTGATTCCAAACCACCCACACCTGGTGTAAGGAGCTCATAGTGTCACCAACCTTCTTCCAAACCGAACCGGTCTCCAAATTTAACCTTTGCAGTTGACCACCGTGTTGCTCACCGGCAAGTGCGCGGATCAAGGGAAATCTGGGTAGTTAGCCGCATCCGAAAGTCGTATGAACTGCTCCCAGAGGATCGTGGACTCCCTACCCCACCCCCACTGTCTTGTGGGTCAGGTTCTTTAACCAAAGGCTCCGAGTAGGATCCCCCAAGAAAACCCCCAAACTCGGCCTAGGTAACCAGAACGTACCACGCCCACAAATTAACCATGGACCAATGGATATACACATTCACACGTCACAGAATCCTACACTACTGCAAAGTTTTCTCTTAAAATCTGTACGCAACACTTCAACTCCGGTCCAATGCCACGCTTAACCTATCGGGGCTTTATGTGGTTCGCCACTCCCGGGGCTTTGGTTGCCGGTTTCCACCACTAAACAGCAGGTCCTCGTGACTATGAGGTTCGCCCCGTCTTCTGTGTGATAAAAAAGACAAAAGATTGCCGGAAAGGTGTGACTGACGAGCCACAAGGACCGCAAAACCGGTCTCTATGGGAAATCACTGATTCAGGAGTGTTGTCTGCGACGATCCCCGTCATGATGTCATTACATCAGATCATACTTATTTGGTCATTGTTATGCAGAACCTGTTAGAATAGTCGCGGTCGAGAGAAACCACACATGAAAACAAGAGAATTATCTGTTTCATTGGGTGTATATTGTACATAGTAAATTCCGACTCATTATTCCAGGATCCTGTCGTTCGGTTTGTTCATACTATCGTGGCTATTAAGCCACATTTCGTTATTTACATATAAAGCATCTTGTCAGTGCGCAATCCTTCCAGAAATGTAAATTTTCTTACTATTCTCGGTGAAATCCGTTCTGATTTCCTCCACAGTTGAAGTTTTATCATCATCTAATCAACTTGTTTCTAAGTTGATGGATTGGAAGTGTTCAAGCCGTGTAGTCATGGCTCCGAGCAAGTGCTCAAATATATATTTCACACATGTCTGAGGCCAGACTGTGTGCCAAACAAATCACGTTCCACGATTTGCATGGCCGAATACCGCCAAGGCAGGGGAATTTTCTATTGCCACAACCGGACAGGTGTGGGTGTGGTTCGTACACCTTCACTTGTTTGTTTTGGAATCAGGTAAACTAATACTGGTCCCCAACCCAAGAACAGGACAACTGCGGAACACTCCCCTTTTCGGTCTTCCCTCCAACGTACAACATCCATGTTTTTAAAAGCAGAATCAACAATCTGGTTCTAGCTTGAATGTTTCCCATACCTTCCCACTTACAGTACATCTTCAAATCATGGGGTTTACTCCTTTTACTGTATTCACTTCCGTGTAATAAAAAACCCGGTTATAGCCCCGTATGTCGGCTCCTCTTCCTCTCACTTTCGTGGAAAAACACCGCTACGCGAAGGCAGTGCGTATAGCTTCCTCAGCAGAGGCTAGTTGAGACGCTTGGCCGTATGGGAACATTTCGCGAGGTGCAAGGGAAGGGTGGCCAGCCGCAACCCAAGATACTCACTGCCGACCATACTAAGGCTTTCGGATGCAAGTGCCCGAAGCGGTCTTTTTATGAACCCTGTAGATACACCGCCTGCTATATGGTAAGTATATGTCACGTTCACCCAGGAATTAGCTACTACTAAGAAGTAACATGATCCTTTATTTTTCCCCAACCCAATATTAATAAACGTGGGTTTGTGCCTTACAGATATACTTGTTACTATGGCGGAAGCGATCGAAGCAAAACAGTGCTTCAATTGTCAGGCTAAGTTTTATTCGGATGACGCCTTCTGGGATCACGTCTACAATGTGAACTGTGGATCAGATACAAACGTCGTCGGTTCCACCTCGACGAAATCAAAATCAGATGAACCGAATAAAGTTAATGGAGGTATCTCCGAACAGGGTGATGGCGTCAAATCGTCAACCACGACCGATCCAAGTACGCATTTCGAGTGTGCTCTTTGTTGTATTCAATTTCCATCAAGTGGCGAGTGGTACGCGCATTCGAAATCTGATGAACACCGCAATAAGGTGGCCGCAGCTGCGGGGCATTATGCCAGTGCAACTAGCACGAAAAAAGATAAACCAGCTACGGAGTTTAAGACTGACGCAAGCGAAGCCCCATCCAGAGCATTTTGTGATGAATGTCAAGTTCCACTGCCCTCGCATGAAGCTCGTGCGATTCACGTAATGGGTAAAAAACATCAAAAAGCGATGAACCGAATTCTCAAAGATAACCTTTTCAGTGGACAAACTGCTCTCGGGTTTAGTGATGCTTCCACGAGTTCAAGTTGTTCAATGCAAGGGATGGATGATATCTTGACACCCACAGTTGTGCTCAATAAACCCGTATCGGTGCCTCTCCAATCTGAGCCCCCGTTGAATTGTGAGTTCTGTCGTGTATCGTTGTCCGATTTACAGGAAGCACAACAGCATGTATCTGGACAGCAACACCAAACGAACGTGAATACGGTGTCCAGTTTAAAAATAAAACAATCATCCAATATTTCTCCTTTGTTGATGGCTCATCTGAAGATATCTGCACCTACCCAGCTAGACGAGCTAATTGGACTTTTACGCCGACTCTGTTTGGCACAATTGACTTCTTTAATGTACCAACTGGAACAAAGCATTTCAGCCGGTAAAAAGAAACCAGTCGATGCTGCATCGGTGAATTTGTTGGGCGAGGAAAACTTTTCCGGTGTAAGTACACATGACTTGTTGGAATTGTTTCGATCGGTTTGTAAAGAAGAACTGGAACTTATGCTATCCTCTCGTGTTCCAGCAAGGTATTGAACGTTTTGTCACCAATCGTGAAACCTTTTGAGATTTCTAGGGTTAATATTAAAAACACTGAGGTTCTGTCATTTTTCGAATCAACCGAAAGATTACTATCATTGCCAATTAAAATCGGAGTTCTATATTTGTTTTTCGTTGTATTAATTTTATAATCATTACATTCTGTTTCGGTCCATTGTCCCATATTCATATTCTTCTATTTGGACATGATCACACTGAATTTTCGCGAGTGTTTTTGATGACTTGACGGGGGTAGTAAATATTTACTTTTTCGATGCAACTAGCTCACTGTGTTGCATTAGTGGTGAATTTCGTGGATGTGGTTGCCACGACGGTTATTCTAATTCAGTTTCTAGTCTATACTGGTAGTAGCCTTGTACTTTTTTTATTACACACCAGTGTGTGATGGATGGACCCTATAGTCATGAAGACCTGCTTTTCAGTGATGGTGACCAGCAACCGAAGCGCCGGGGCTTTCTGTGGCGAACCACATAAGGCTCCGCTAGGTCAGGCGTAGTATAGAGTCGGGCAACAGCAGAGCTGTGTACCACCAAAGTTGGGTGGCGGTGGCGGGACTCGAACCTTGGACCATAGAGTCCAAAGCACGCCGGTAAAAGAGACTAAACCACTGCGTCACCACCACCCATGCGCTCGTTTAATATTTTTATTACACATCACAGTAAAAGAGGACATCCCCATAGTCAAAGGGCATACTGTAAAAGGGAGAGTAGGGTAACATTCACGTAATATCCAGGCTATTGGTCCTGCTGTAAGTTGGAGGACAAGACAAAGTGGAGGAGTGTTCCACAACTTGGCAGTTCAGTGAAAAAAGGTTGAAGCAGAGTAGTACCACATCTGGTGACGGATATCTGATCAGGATGACTAGATGCCTGTCGGCGGGATGAGCAGGTAAAAGTTACAAGAAGAGAAGGGGCAAGCTTCGAATAACCAAAAGCAAAGTAGTAACGGTAGAAAGGAAATAGTAAAGCAACCGACCAATGACAGGCTAGTGATTGCAGACTGTATGTTAGAGAAAAATCATTGATCAACCAGATGGCCTTTCGTCGAACACGATTAATTAGGGAAAGCGAAGAAGACGAAGCGAAACCCCACGCGTTACTGTAGTATTCAAGAGCTTTGTATAGTGGAGGATGAGCTGGGATCAAAAAGCATCTGCCACGGAATAAACAGCCAGCCTTGCGCGCAGCACGAGAAGCCAGCTGAGCCATAAAAGGGATCAGCATATAATTTTTTTTAGGCAATCTAAGGGTAGGGAAACAATTTATGGAACTTAGCTGAATGGAATCAAAAGATAAGTGGGGGCAAAATTAAATAGTGTTTTAGAGAAATTCTAAAGAGAGGTTTGCGAAGCATGAAATGAAACATGGCTGACATTGCCCCAGGAGGCGATGTGTTCGAGATCGTAGTCCAGTGACACATTAACAACCCTACGGTCACGATCGTTGTTGGTTTGGGCATGGCGGGTTGTACAGTAGGAGAAGGAGCAGTGGAGAGTGGAGTCATCAGCAAAAGAATGGCTCGGGTTGACTGTTTTAGAAAGGAGTTCATTGGTAAATAAAAGAAGGACGGTGTGCGCAAGTACTGAACCTTGAGGAACGCCAGCATTCACAGGTAACAGCTGAGGTAGAACCCCATCAGCTCGGACGGAGATGCTTCACTTACTGAGTAAACTTCATATCCATGCTACGAGCGCCGGAGGGAACCCCAACATGGGTAGTTTCTCCAGTAGATCTTTGTGCCAAACTCGGTCGAAGACCTTTGAGATGTCAACCAGGATTGAATGGGTTTCTCCGTGGTTATCGAGTGGAGCTGTCCAGGATTCTGAGACAAGAACCAGCAAGTCACCATGGGAACGACGCTGGTGGAAGCCATAATGGCGGTCGTTCAGTAGTCCTTCCTGTTCGAGGAACGTGCGTAGTCCGTTGGAGGTGTTGGTTTTAAATAATTTCGGAAGAACAGATGGAAATGGGTTGGTAATTGTTGG